TGCGGTCCGGATCAACAACAGAACCAAACCCTGGCCTTTCTCTGTCTGCACAAGCGCTCTCTCTTCCTCTGTGCAGCCCTTCAGCCTGTGGTGATGCTGGTGTGGCTTGACTGAAGCTCCCATTGCCATGGGGATTATCAGTGGGTGCGTGGGCTGCTGGGGGGGGCAGTTGTTCAGTCCAAACACTAAAGCCTCCGTAGGCTGAATCGACGCGGGAGGGAACTTCAGCTCTTACCCGCAGCTGTTAACTCTTTCCCTAAGTGAGCCTCCATAAATTTGCTTGATGCTTACATATTATTAATGTCTGAACGCCTGTGAGTCTGAGGCAAGCTTTGGAAGAATTATTTCTTTGTCTCCCTTGTAATGTACCCTTCGAGAAAGACTGGATTGTTCAGGCCAGGAGGGATAGCAGTTCTGAGATGAAGGCAGATGGTAGTAGCTTGTCTGACCCCCTTTTACTCTAGGGCAGTGTTTCCCAATCCTGTCCTCAGGGACCTGCAGACAGTCCACATTTTTGCTCCCGGCCAGACAGTCCACATTTTTGCTCCCTCCGAGCTCCCTAAAAATGTGGACTGTCTGGCAGGGAGCTGGGAGGGAGCAAAAACCAGGATGGTCTGTGGATCTCTGAGGACCTGGGTGGGAAACGCGGACCTGGGTCATGGCCTCACCCTTAACCCATGTTTAGACTTATCCAGGAAGCTGAACTTCATGTCCATGAGGGGCATGGCTACAGGTGGGAAGGGCTCACCCAAATGCCTCCCCCCCCTGCCTCCCCCCTGACGTGACCCTGATGAGCCACGCCTGGTGCTTGTTACCTCTTGTTAGTCTTTATATTCAAGTCCCTCATACAGTGTTTAGCAGTGTATCATGCAGTGTTTTTTTTCTGTGTTTAACCAAATAAACTCTTTCAGATGAATCCTGTCCATCACACTGACATTCCTGCACGAACAAGTTCTAAACTGTTAAAACGGAACCGGTTCATTACTTGAGTAATTGTGTCATGAAAACTAACTTCATCAACTGATAAAAATCACACTGAACAATGAGCCTGATTTACCAGACCCTGCAGCACAGGTCCTTAAAAATACTTTGATTGGTTAAATACAATTCGGCTCCAGATGGAATATAAAGATCATGCTGCTGTCTATCAGAAGGAGCCCCTGGGTTGAAGTGTGTTACCAACCAGCACATCTAGCTGCTGTTTTACTCTGGGGAAAGATGCCTAACTGGTGTTGCTCCATGGAAAGCTAGCAGGATCGTTTATAATGCTTTCTGTGCTCCAATCACGTGCCGCCTCTGGTCAGGTGACTTTCCCATAAAAGGCCCTTCTAGTTAGGTGGCCCATATGGCTGCCAGCCTCAGAGCAGAAGATGAGATGATGTAACTCAGAAACCTGGTGGGATTTACTGTGGAACCTGAGAGAAAATGCACGAAGGAAATGAACTGAGTTGTAATGAAATTACTTGTTTGGGAAATGCTGGGCGGCGTACATTATCTGCTTATTATCTGCTTACACAGCGGATGTGCAGCGTGGCGGGAAAAGTTAGGTCAGGAACAAAGGGAAGATGGTAACTGGCTGCATGCAGATCTGCTGCTGCTGGTATCGAGTTCAGCTCCTCATCCATCTCTGCTTGGCAGAGTGTGGCAGAGTCTCGGATAGCTGCAGGATTCAGAGGGAACGACAAGGAGCCATTCGCAAAATGCACTTCTTTTAATGTTTGGTTCATGTAAAATTACATTCCCTTTGGCTGAATTGGGCAGTAGAATGTTCAGAGAAAGGCTCTATTAATTCAGTAAAAATATTGCAAATTTATTGTTTTATAACAAAAATTACTTTATTAATTTGTTTACAAACAAAAATATATATAACATTAAAAACAACCAGAAGTTTTGAAACCAAATTATAGCTCTAAAACAGTTCTGAGTTAAAAGGTTAATTGACAAGCAGTCTCACTGGGTGTTTTTTAATTAGTAACACCTTTGCAATGACATCAAACACCAAACTTTTGTGTTTAGTATCCATTTGGGAACCAGTGACAACGATTGCAAAATGGGAAAAGCAGTGAAAAAAATTATGACACTCAATAAAACAAAAATTTGTGGAAGATGCATAAGGATATGTTAAACATTGCTGTTCAATTGAATTTTGTTATAAAACCAATAAATTTGCTACAATATAGAACTGAGCACGCGTCCCTAGGCTTTCTGTGAGCGTATATGTACCTAATCTCATTTTGGGTACTGGCTGAGCCTTATACACAGTAATGAATGAGAGAACAGTGTAAATACTGGCTGTGGGGGACTAGGTAGCCCTCACTTCCTGTTTCTGCAGGCCGTAACCAAACAACAACACAATGATTGGCTCTGTTGCACCTGGGCACTGCAGTGAATTGTGGGTGTCAGATTTTGTTGCGGACAGGCCGCGTTCCATGTCACTGACCTTTCAGGGCTATTTCAGCTGAAATAACAACAGTCTCCTCAGTTTCCTAGAAGGAATCATTAACAACTAACACTTTCAGAGTCGCACAGTCTGCCTTTGCGAGCGATTCGGGGAACACACTCAGAGGTACATCTGCGCTGTGCCCTCTCACATACTCCTTGGCCACTTACTGTTCTGTGGTCTCTGGCAGTAAATAACGATCCCAGAGGAAATGGGAATAAAACTAAATAAATTCATATTGTGTCCCTGTGATGGACAGCCAAACCTTACAGGGTTTCTCCTGCCTGGTAGTAGGGACTAAAAAAAAAGTTCCTGAACTACCTCTGAGAAACTACAATTGGTCCGAGTTCCAGTGGTGGGAATACGACAGAAGTTTGTGGTTCCGGAAAAGCAGACCCATCTACATTCACCCTGGACTGAGCAGCGCAGGTTGGAAAGAACATGCTTTCATTCTGCTAGGTGAAAGCTGCGTGTGAGGATGAGGCCAGGGACAGACTAACTTACCTGGGAGCCCCTAGCTGTTATCAGCAAGTGTTGCTGATTTAATTGATCGTTCCCTTTCTCGCGAGGCGGGGGTGCCCTCATTTTTGCTGGGGCCCGAGACTATAGCCTTGGACAGAGTGAGCATGAACCCCCCTGGAGGATCCTGTAGGAGGGAATTAGCTGGTGATTCATGGACATTCCATAAAGATGTAGACTCTAGGGGACCAGCTGGTGACAGTAAGGGGAACAGCACTGTAGGTCCCTGTCCCAGACAGACCACCAGCTAACATGTCTGCAGAACCTCCGCACCTTGTGCTGCCCGTCCCGGGGACAGAGCCGGAGGGCAGGACAGGCCAAATAGGGTGGATGTGACAGCCTGTCTGCCCTCCGCCCCGGGCTGTCAGGAGCCCCGCCCACGCTCTGCTCCGTCTGCTATAGTCAGAGGTATCACCTCCTCTAAATACTTATTTCATCATTTTTTCCCTTTTTACCACAATATCCTAACATATATAGATGGCTTGAAAAGGAAATAGTGCTTAATTAAGCTGGTCTCTACAGGCCATGCACTTAATTCCTCTCCAGCGTGGCAGCGTGTTATTTTTTCTCAGTGAGCGCTTACATTTGAAAACTCATCATATCAGCAGCACAGATCGCCTGTTATGCCCCTAACTGCACTGTGTACCACCAAGAAGTCGCCACTCTTTGAAAAGAAAAGGTTGAGGCCGTTTCTGCTCGCTGACAGAAGATGCTGTTTCCGCCAGCAGTGAGACGATTTCGTTTCTGTCACACGGTATGGCTTCTGTGCCGTGGTCAGCCTCGCTTTTCCAAACATCTCACAGTCAAGGCTATAAGCAGCGTACATATGAGACACTGTCTGGGGCTGTTTATTTACATTACACCACCATGCAGCTGGTGGTGCCCCCCCTTCATTACAGAACCTGACAGAGCTCCAGAATATAACTGCACTGCCCCATCCAACATTTCAAATCCTTATCACAAGGACTCATAAAAATGCATCTAATAACCTTTGCGAAACCAAACCAATCAATTTAGATTTAAAAACCATCTTCTCACAACTTGGAAAAAGCAGAAAGGGTATGAATTTGCCTCTGTTATTTCTGTGGCTGATGGAATCTGATATCTTTCAACGTGGCCTTGTTTGGCTGTGCTCGGAAGGAAGGTCATGATTGAATCCCTCTCCATCATTTCACGGCTTGTTTCCATCTCCGAGGCGAATATAACTCAGAAACTGTGGCTGTTTTTCCATCTAGCTCAGCACACGCACACTAACAAGTCTCTGTAAACTCCTTACTCCAAATTAGCCTTTGCAGTCAAAGGCCTTTGCACACTGTGACCAGTACGATTTCTTATTATAAAGTGTGACATTCTTAAAGGTCACATAAAGCAAAACTGAAAGCTGGCGGCCTTTCAGTGTCTCTGTTGCTTGCTGACCCAGGGTGAGTTTCCGTCTGATAGCAACTAATGTTCAAATCAAGGGTGAAATATACACATTGTTATAAGTGAATGAAACTTGACAGGATGGCCACCAAAAAGTTTGATGTTTCTTTTTCATTTTGATCATCATCATATCATCATATTTTTTGTGTTTGATTGAATTATTTTGATTTGATAATGATTGCGATGCATTTTTTCATCCCCCTGATCTGAGAGATATAAAAATATGCCTTTGTCCAAGAGATACATGCTGTAGTAGATTTTTCCAGCGTACTGCAGCTATTCAACCTCCAACCCAATGATCAGGAAACTTTAATTTCATGCTTATACATGAGGGTTACATTAGGATCATCGTACAAACACCAAATGTTTCACAGGTAAAGAATGTCATGACAGATTGAGAAATTATGTTGGGTAATTTGTGATCAGGTGATATTTGACATTCTCAGAAGGGAGAGACTGCAGGACAATTACTCAAAGGTCATCAGTCAAGGCTGCAGTAACAATGGCATCTGCTTAGTCAACTAAGTGAGAGAAATAATAATATTCATTCCTTGAGAAATATAGAATGATTGGACTGTGTCTGGTTCATCTTCCTTTGTTATTTCCTTTGTATTTCCAGTTGGACAACCCCGACGAGCAGGCTGCCCAGATCAGACGGGAGCTGGACGGCAGGCTGCAGATGGCGGAGCAGATAGCGAGAGTGTGTATCTGGGGAGCGCGAACATCTCACGAACAGCTGGGTTATGGAAACTCCATGTTTATCCATGTGCATGGACAGGAGTGCAGCTTAGAGATCTGAGACTTGGCCCAGTTAGGGTAGAAATCGTTTTCCTGTACATTTGATTCGGAGATGTCAGTGGTGTTTGTATTGATGTTAACGTCCCACATGGTCTGTCATCTGTAGGCAGGAAAGTTTCCTAAGTTTGTCTCCAAAGACATGGAGGGGATGTACATCGAGGAGCTCAAGTCGTCGGTGAACCTGCTGATGGCCAACCTGGAGAGCATGCCCGTGTCCAAGGGGGGCGAGTTCAAGCTGCAGAAGCTGAGGAGGGGTCACAACACCTCCATCATGGACATGGGCCAGGAAGACGAGAACCAGCTCTCCAAGTCGGACGTGGTGCTCTCCTTCACTCTGGAGGTGAGGAAGCTCTGTGGCGTTTCGGTGGCTGGTGTGAGGCCTCTGTGCTCTCAGGAAGGGTATGGGTTCAGATCCGCTGGTCAGCACAGTAATCATATCACACCTCTGGGCCCCTGAACCAGACCCCTAACCCCGACGGTTTGAGGGCCACCGGGTGCTGACTGACCCTGCATTCCCACCCCAGGCTTTCCTCACCCATATGTTGTTTTGGTCAAAGCGTCGGCTAAACGGCTAAATGCAATCCCAGCAGTGGGAGAGTTTGCGTCACTGAGAACCTCCCAAGCCCTCCAGAATTCACAGGTCTCTGTTTCCCCTGCTGTTCCATGCCTGATAAAGTGTATTTTTGTCCACAGAGTAAAATGTTACAAGGGGGGGGGGGGGGGGGGGGGGGCGTCTGGAGGTATGTGATGGGTGTGTTATGAATCCGTTATGCCATTCTGTCCACAAGACAAAAGCCTTTTTTAGCATTTGAAGTCCTCTGGGCATCTATATTTCAGTGATCTTTTTGCCATGAAATCCACAATGCACAGGATGTGTACCGGTTCCTGTGTGTTCTAAGGAAATGCCTCATGCTAGAAAAAATACATTAAAAATCTGAGTTCCTGACGAATCAGCTGCTGGCATAATGAATGCACCTGTGATAGATTGCCTTTGCGCCTGTGATTATGAGCAGATCTGCTGTTCTACAGTAGGAAGATCACTAGAGCAGCCAGGGACTGCTGTCACAAAGGCAATCTGTAAAATACTGAGGTATCTTAGTAATCGGGTAAGAACAGGAAGACCTTATACCTCACAGAACTGACTCATCTGCTTAGTTCTCGTAGATTGCTGTCATACTTCAGAGTGCTGATAGCACCAAGCAGCATCAGTCGGTGTCGGAGCTGAATGGCCAGGGGCTGACGGCGGATTGTGGGGGCTGTTTTCAGGTGGTGATCATGGAGGTGCAGGGCTTAAAGTCACTGGCCCCCAACCGCATTGTTTACTGTACCATGGAGGTGGAGGGCGGACAGAAGCTGCAGACTGACCAGGCGGAGGCGTCGAAGCCCACGTGAGTGTGTGACCTTTGCTCTGTGTCCAACTATGGTCTCGCTGGCTACGCTGCATCATTGTCCCTCCCCTCGCCGAGTTTAACCCTTTGGACCCCACCTCAAACACCTGCCATTCTCTGCTGGTTCCGTTTCACTAGCTCACACATTAGTGGCACACTGTCGCACGACGACGTCGGCCGAGGGACATCACGTATCGTCACATGCTACCTGTCAATCATTTGGTGCGGCGGGGGGTGGCATGAAAGCTGACATGCTGTGCTGACACCGAGGTGCTGTCTCCTCCCCCCATGTGGGGAGGGGGGCTTATAAGATACCTGGGACAGAGAGCATCCTCTCTGCAGGGGCAGTGGGTGCACCCCCCCCCCCCCCGGCACTGATCCTGTTCTCTAGCTTTAATTAAAGCTAAGCTCACATGAGATGTCGGCTGAGGGACTCTTGGACCGTCTGTGTTCCTTGGAGAGATTAGTCTGTGCCATTTCTGCTTTGCTTTTAAATGATCTTATCTTTGCTAAAGGAGGCCTCTTTTTTATCTTCACACGCACACATACATACAACATATACAGATAGATAGATGTATATTATATGTATATGTAGTACATATGCATAAATACACTAACATAGAAAGCTATCATACATAGATACAGGAGTTATATGCATTTCTTTATACATTTTTGCCAGCTAAAAGATAGTGGGAATGTTCTGTTTTGTCCTCCGATATTAAGTCTTAAGGAGACGGCATATTCTGCGTGTCTCATTCCAATAACGGCTTTGCTGTCACGCCCTCCCTACCGCCTCTTGTGGCAAACAGATGGAAGTTTAATGGGCTGAGAATCAGTGCCGTGCGACAGAAGCTGGACAGAAAGGACCTTTCCTGTGCCACTGAAGTGGAGATCTACTCCCCCTGTCACTGACCCTGTATGAATCTCAGACAGAAATCCTGGAACCTCCTTTATTACAGCTTTCATTTCTTTGCAGTAATTCATATAAAAAAAACACAACTTGACACCTAACGAGCATGATCTGCAACATTACTCTTAAGAGGGCAACTTCTGTTTCGATGAATAATAATATTTTCCTCACTAATGAAAATATGACTGACCTGGGATCGCCTGTATTGAAATAGATGTGGATTCCTCTGCTGCCATCTAGGGGTGTACAATATTACAGCTAACATTTGCATCCCTATGCATGTCAATGCCTGAAAATGTATGCGGAGAGTGTGACATTTACACTGACCTGTCTCCTAACATACAAACAGTACATGTTGTAGCATTTAAACCAACAATAATCTGAAGAGTCAAAGTGTTATGATTCATTGACAGCTGGTTGGTAATAAGGTCAATGATCACAGTCAAGTCAAGCACGTATGTGTACCTGTGCATTCAAATGGTCATACAAGGACCACATGAGGTCAATTAAATCCGAAAAAAGAGCTGATCAGTCTGAACAGGTTTCCTGCAATGCAGAAGACCCCTGTCTATGTGCCTCAATCGGAAGCTTCCCCTCGGTGTCTGACCAGAGCATGGAGGTGGGAATGCAGATCAAGGGCAGCCCGGCCTTCATCCCACTCGCCATAATTACTCCTCACGATGCCTGGTGACCTCATGACGTCACCAGTGACATCGCCAGAATTCCTCCTGGGGTTTGCATTTGATGCCAGCCAGATGGGGATGAATATCGCCTAGGGTTGGCGGCCGCTTAGACATGACTGAGAGCGAGCGATTCCCTCAGAAATGGTGAGCACTCTGGTCACCATGGCTACCCACAGGTCATGTGATCATGGGTCGGAGAGAGGGTGCAGGTGTAGTACGCGGCGAGCTGAGGTGCGAGGAGATTGGGGCACTCCCCTGCCCTGGGTACTACATAGGCTGTGCTTTTCCACGTCCATGTGAGCACCGAACATGTGGAGTACCCAGAAAGATACATCTCCGGGCTGGTCAGACCTGCCCTGTGCTTGCTGCGGCAGCCTCCTTCCAAGTGCCATTTCAGCCCAGCATAAGTCATGTGACCATGAGCAGGCAGGCTGTGTACTTAAGAGGAACCTCCTTGATAAAATCCATGGGCTTCCTTTCTGCCCTACATTTTTTGTAAAGCTTAGACTCTTCTGCATCGTGCTTACAATGTTCTGCTAGAGATGATGATGCCCAAGTGAGTTACTTTCCCGCTAAAACAGCTGGAGTTATTTCCCTAACTGAACCTGCTTAGTCTGTGGTGCTTTTTGTAAGATTTCATTGGCAGGTATTAGGGACTGGAACCTAATGCTAATACTGGGGAAGCCTACACCTTCATAGACCGCGTCCTTTGAACGGTGAGGCCCCTGAGTTCGGGCAGAGCTAATGTCAGTATGTCACCATTATTCCCTGCACCAGGACCGGCCTGCATAATTCCTGGGCTCGGGACAAAGCTAATTAAATGGGGCGCCCCTCCATGAGGGTCACTGCTTCTCCTGGGCCCCTGGGAACTTTCCTGGCTGTTCCCCCCCCCAGACGCCAGGCTTGACCTGAACATGCTTTTAATGCAATTAATGTTGAAAAATATTGTTTTATAAATTGCTATATGTGTATGCTGTGAACATGCCATCCAGCCTTAAACCCGTGACCTTTGAGGTGTAAAGTGAAAATATTACCTGCTGTTCTGCCACGGTCTTCATTTGCTTTTATGTTATTTATCTTAGTTGTAGGAGTCATTGTAATAGTTTGATGATGTTCTGGGAACGTCAGGAAAACTGGTCACTTTGAATGTTTCCATACCGTAACCATAACATTCAGTAAACGTTCCTCGTGTTATGAAAGTAACAGAAGCTGTTAGCCAGTACTGATCAGGCACGATTTCTTGTGGTGGTACGGGGAGAGCGTCCTCTCTGAGGTGGTACACGGTATAAAAAGGCAATAATCAGCACTGCTACGATCACCC